GAGAGAGAGATGAGGTCTCAAGGAAAAGATGTGTGATCGGCGTTCTACTGGGGCCCCTCTGATAATATGCCATTAAAAAGTAGGAAATGGGGTCCCTAGCAGACTTGCCTGGAAGGAGCCTATTGAGGGTTAGTTATGTTGGGAGACTGGGCCTGAGCATCTCCTCAGAAAGAAGTTGCCATCCATGCCTTGGCCCTTTCCCACGCCTGTAAGCAAGGGGTTAGGCAGAGCCCCAAATATAGGGTTTGGTTGGATACCTGATAGTTTGCCAGCCGGGCCCAGCCTGTAGCCGTCTGTTGAACAAACAGAGAAGGTCTGGTGGTTTTCCTTACAATCCTCCCACTTGCGAGTTCACTTCTAGTTGGGAGACAGGATTCTTAGCACCTTTGGTGTCAAAAGGCTGTCTTGGGGTTGTGCCAATGAATTACCAAACATTGAGCCTGTGGGCTTTCAGTTGGAGTATTGTCCCCATAAGCCTTATCTCAGCCAAATACCTTTCTTGACAATAGGAGCGGCTTCCCTCTCATTCCTTCTCTTCACTCCACTTTGTTTCCCTTCTTCATCCCACTGCTTTCCCATTCTTTCTGGGTGGTAGGAGAAAGGGACTCACTGCTCAAGGACACTCCCTGTTGGGCACAGCATGTGCCTACAGAAATGTTCCCTGACCCTGTAAGTGCTCCCAGTGGGGAAGTGGACAGGAGCCATTGGCCATAACCAGACAGAATTTGAAGAAGTTTTCATAAAGCTCCACTGAGCGTTTTAAAGGAATATATGTAGCATGATTTTTTAGAAAAGGAAAAGATTATTTAAATAGGATTTGAATCATGCGACAACCAGAGTATCACCACCAGGATGACCCCTGAGCCCCATTCCTAGGACATGGTAACTTTATTTTCCCGTTGTTAAGGCATAGGAAGACAATTTTTAAATGGTCAGTGTCCAGTTGAAGGCACAACACTAATCAGATTTCAAGGCCCAAAACTTGGGGACTAGACCACCTTATATTGAGGGAACTCTGCCACTTACACAAAATGCATGGATAAACTAAATTAAATGACACTACTGCCCTGATGACTCCTTAGGATGTGGTCAAAACAGCATCAAATGTTTCTTCTCTTCCTTTCCCCAAGACAGTGTCCTGAACCTGTTAAATTAAGTCATTGGATTTCACTCTGTTCTGTTTACAGTTTACTATTTAAGGTTTTATAAATGTAAATATATTTTGTATATTTTTCTATGAGAAGCACTTCATAGGGAGAAGCACTTATGACAAGGCTATTTTTTAAACCGCGGTATTATCCTAATTTAAAAGAAGATCGGTTTTTAATATTTTTTATTTTCATAGGATGAAGTTAGAGAAAATATTCAGCTGTACACACAAAGTCTGGTTTTTCTTGCCCAACTTCCCCCTGGAAGGTGTACTTTTTGTTGTTTAATGTGTAGCTTGTTTGTGCCCTGTTGACCTAAACGTTTCCTGGGTTTGCTCTTTGACAATAAATGGAAAAGGAAGGTCACCCAACTCCATTGGGCCACTCCCCTTCTTCCTATATCAAAGCTCCTCAAAAAGCCGTAGTAGTATCTTGACAGCAATTTCTCTTCTTTCCCGCACTCTCTCTCTCTCCTTTCTGGCTCTAGCTCAGAGTGGTGGGAGGTGGTAATCTACTTTCCCCTCATTTTCCTACTTCAGAGTTAGCAACCAAGTTGAATGGCAACCTGACATGTTTTCATCACCATCTGCCTCATAGATCACCTCGTTCCCTTTCCCTCTGCCCACCAAGTCCTCATACCTGCGAAGAACTCACGGATCTCCCTGTACCCTCTTTTGGGGCAGCCCGTTGAAACTGAAGCACAGTCTGACCACTCACGATAAAGCAGATTTTTCTCTGCCTCTGTCGACCACAAGGTTTCAGAGCAGTGTAGTCCAGTAGAGGGCGGGCACCCTGTTCTCGCCTCTAGAAGCCCATTCCTATGGAAGTCTAGCAAAGCAATACTACTCGGCCCAAGGACATATGGCTCTGCTGTGCCTTCCATCCTGGGCTCCCTGTTCTGTGACCTTAAGAACTCTGGTGGCTTTGCTGGAACATTGTCACTATTTCCATTGTCGTGCAGGGAGCCCAGCACTGTGGCCAGGATGGCAGAGACTTCCTTGTCATCATGGAGAAGTGCCAGCAGGGGACTGGGAAAAAGCACTCTACCCAGACCTCACCTCCCTTCCTCTTGCCCGTGAACAAGACACAGTGGCCCTAGGGGTTCCACTAGTGTCTGGTTTCCTTTATTATTGCACTGTGTGAGGGTTTTTTGTAAATCCTTTTATTCCTTTTTTTTTTTTTTAAAGAAAAAAAAAACCTTAAGCTGCATTTGTTACTGAAATGATTAATGCACTGATGGGTCATGAATTCACCTTGAGAAAGACCCAAAGGCCAGTCAGGGAGTGGGGAAACTCAGCTAAATAGACCTAGTTACTGCCTAGCTAGGCCATGCTGTACTTGAGCCCCCTCTCATTCTCTTTCTACCAATCTCAAACTCAAGGCCAAGGGAGGAACCCACACATCTTTCCTTCTCTTGCCAGCTGCAGATGGTTTGCCTTGCCTTTCCACTCCCTAATTGTAACCACAGAGATAAGAAACTCCTCTTTACAGCTCAGCCTGAGTCCATTGCCAAAATTCAGCATACCTGCCAGCAACTTGGGAATCAACTAAGGTTTCCCTACCAAAGGGGAAGAAGGCAAAAAATGGCATAGCTATCTCCAAAACACCTCTGAGTTTGTTTTGAAAGTGACCTAAGGAATCTCCGCACAAAAGTGCAGACTGAGGAACTGCGGTGGGTCATTACCAAGAATCCCCCAAGGGGCAACCCAAATCCCTAAGGAGTAACAGCTGCAAACCTGGTCAGTTCTCAGTAAGAGAGCCAGCTCCCTTACAGCTTTGCTGCTAGAACCTGTTGTGGCTGCATTTCCTGGTGGCCAGTGACAACTGTGTAACCAGAATAGCTGCATGGCGCTGACCCTTTGGCCGGAACATGGTCCCTTGGCTCCCTCTGTTCAACCATCCACCACCTCCAGCACAACTCCTCCTGTTTTTTAGACCAATAACAAGAATTAAGGGGAAGCCCTGGCAGCTATATATGTTTTCAACCAGACTCCTTTGCCGGGATCCAGTGTACCACCTTGCTTGCCTCTATCACCCACCCTCCCCCAACACACATACACACACCCCGGCCAATGCAGTGAGCACCATGCAGCTCCCTTGATTAAAAAAAATACAATAAAACAAAAAATCTTTTGATGAATGTATCTTTCTAAAGGACTGATGTTCAATCAAATATCTGAAAATACTAAAGGTCAAAACCTTGTCAGATGTTAACTTTTAAGTTTGATTTGGGGTTTTTTAAAATAGAAATCAAAATTTGGGTTTTTTTTGTTTGTTTGTTTGTTTGTTTGTTTTTAAGGAAAAGCGGGTCATTGCAAAGGGCTGGGTGTAATTTTGTTTCATTTCCTTCATTTTAAAGCAATACAAGGTTATTGAGCAGATGGTTTTGTGCCGAATCATGAATACCAGTCAAGTCTCACTCTGAAAACTTGCAACTTTTTTGTTTTGGTTTTCAAATAAATATAAATATGATATATATAGGAACTAATATAGTAATGCACCATGTAACAAAGCCTAGTTCAGTCCATGGCTTTTAATTCTCTTAACACTATAGATAAGGATTGTGTTACAGTTGTTAGTAGTGGCAGGAAAATGTCAGTCTGGCACTCCTCTGATCCTCTGAAGTGGGGGGAAACCCAAACCATAAAGGGATGGTAGAACAGTCCATTCCTAGGATCAGAGAGAAATGCAGAAATGGTGTCACCTGGGGTTTTTTCTGCCCATGAATGTTGCCAGGCAGTACCTGTACTCCTTGTTTCTGTTTTTGGTTATGAATGTTGGGGTTACCACCTGCATTTAGGGGAAAATTGTGTTCTGTGCTTTCCTGGTATCTTGTTCCGAGGTACTCTAGTTCTGTCTTTCAACCAAGAAAATAGACTTGTGGTGTTTCTTTTATTGAACTTTTAACAGTCTCTTTAGTAAATACAGGTAGTTGAATAATTGTTTCAAAAGCTCAACAGATGACAAGCTTCTTTTCTAGAAATAAGACATTTCTTGACAACTTTATCATGTATAACAGATCTTTTGGTTTTGTTTTGTTTTTTTTTCCTTGTGTTCTTCCAAGCTTCTGGTTAGAGAAAAAGAGGAAAAAAAAAAAAAAAGAAAAAAAATGTGTCTCAAGTCCATCAGTGTTAACTCCCTGTGACAGGGATGAAGGAAAATACTTTAATAGTTCAAAAAATAATGCTGAAAGCTCTCTACGAAAGACTGAATGTAAAAGTAAAAAGTGTACATAGTTGTAAAAAAAAAAAAAGGAGTTTTTAAACATGTTTATTTTCTATGCACTTTTTTTTATTTAAGTGATAGTTTAATTAATAAACATGTCAAGTTTATTGCTGCATATGGTGGAGCTTTCTTTCTGGCTTTGCCTGGGGTGAAAAATTGGGGAGGGGCACAGCCTGTAATCTGATTACAAAGTACCTTCCCCAATCCTTTCTCCTAAAGTGGAATTAAATAATTTCTCATTGTCTTCTTTCAGGCCTCACTCCACTCTGGCTCTGCTAACCATATTTTCTTCCCTTACTCATCAGTGACGTATGTTCAGGACCTAATTAGTTCTGGATATGAGAAAGGGGTCAAGAAGACAAAGGAACAGTTCCTTTACCACCTATATATCCCCTCTCCTTTATCCATGGGTAGTCAAGCAGTGGCTTCTAACCATTTTCTGCCAATCCATGAATATAATAAAAACATTTCAAGGAGAACTTGGACAGCACCCTCTCTTTGCTCCACTCCACCTTAAGACTGAAATTGGGTTATTTACTGTTTCTTCTAGGACGAGTGGGGGTGAGGAGGCAGTTGAGAAATACCTGTAAATGTTCTACCAAGTTAGGGTCACTAACCCCAGGGCAAACGGGTTGAGTTAGCCAAAAGAATGAAAGACATTCAAGGGGGACAGTCCTCAAACAGCCTCCCGATCAATTGGCTGTGAGGCTCAACTCCCACCCCTTCTTCCTCCCTCTTATCCTGAGTCACCTTTGTGGATTTTGAGTTGAGCACCATGGGGACTCTAAATGATCAGGCAGTGTTACAAGCCATCTTCAATCCTGACACCCCGTTTGGAGACGTTGGGTTGGACCTGGGAGAGGAAGCTGAGAAGGAAGAAGTTGATGAAGGTTGAGTATTTGCCTTTGGAGTATAGCTCTCCACAGTGGCTGGTCTGCAGGCCTCCCTGGGGTGGCAGAGGGAGGTGGTATTACAAGGTCTCTTGTTTGTTCCATGACCCTTGGGTGATGATTGAGATTGAAATCGGAGAGGTTGGCTGATCCTTAGTGCACTGACAAGGGGTTGGCAAGAGTCACTGCCAAGAGGAGAAAGCCAGGGTTTGTCTGAGTCCTTCAGCCCTCACACCTTTGAACCTAACTCACCACTTAATTCTCTCCATGATCCAAGCTTAACTGTTGGCATGGAGCAGGGCTGTATTAAACTCTCACATCTCTGTCATAAGAGAGTATCACCCCACACAGAATGGAAGACAGGAAGAGGGCAGGGCATGGCTCAGTTGAATGGTTCCAACCTAAGCAGTGTTACATATCATTACAAGCCAAGCACTGAGCTGATCCACAGTGAGTGCACTCATTGCTTTTCAATCGGTCACTAATAGAGACAGATGTCCCTACAGGGAGTTTTTGATGTCCTTTGTTTCTAAGGGAGTGAAGTCTAAGTCTTACTGAGACTTTATTTAGACTGAAACGCTGAGGGATACATGGGAAATGATTTTCATGACCTGCGTGTGTCATGGTGGCCTTTGTGTTAGAGGCAGTGTAGTAAAACAAAATGGGGACAGGCTAAAGAGCCATAAAGACCTGGGTTCAAATCCAAACTGTGCACTTTATGGGCTGTGTGACCTTGAGCAAGTCTTTTAGCTACAGGCTAAGGAGTTTGAGCTTTACTCTCCTGACAATGAGGAGCCAACCAAGGTCCCCTTTCCAGGTCCCTTTGAGACTCTGGCATTGCTAGCTCTCAACCTTCGTGACCTCAACTCCCCCTACCCCAAATACTGCGTCTGACTCCTGCTGTGACCCACATCCCAACCCAGTCAGCTTTGGCTCAGGTCCCAGGTTTTCAAAGCTGGAGGTGGCTTTTGCTTTTTGCTCCCAACCACACACCTGTCCCCTCCTGGCTCCCTCCCTGGCACAGATGGAGTTTTCCCTCAAGCACAGTTGGAGCAGTCCAAGGCCCTGGAGCTGCAAGGGGTGATAGCAGCAGAGGCTGGCGACCTCAGCACAGCCCTGGAGAGGTTTGGCCAAGCCATCAACCTGCTGCCGGAGAGGGCCTCAGCCTACAACAATCGAGCCCAGGCCCGGCGTCTCCAGGGAGATGTGGCAGGTGAGGGGAGATGCCCTGGAGCCTCTGCAGAAGGGACCCTGGAGTACACGGACCAGAGATGAAGTGGTTGTGGGCTGGGGCATGGGGAGTCACTAACCCCCTCTGGAATATTCCTAACTAAGAGAGAGATTACGGGCCTGCTTACCTCTTGGGGCTATTGTGAAAGAATAGATTGTGTTCCATTTATTTATTTAACAAACATTTAATGAGAGTCTACTGTAGCAGTGGGCCAGGTGCTGAGGACACAAAGATAAAAATATACTACTTATAGCAACTACTATGTGCCAGGCACCAAGCACTTCCATGTAGTAACTCAATTCTCACAACCCTGAAAGGTATGTACTATTGTTATCTCCATTTTACAGATGAAGAAACAAGCATGGAGGTTAAGTAGTTTGCTACTCATATAGCTGAGAAGTGACGAGCTGGGGTTTGAAACAGGTGGTAGGGCTCCAGAGTGTGTGCTCTTACTCCCATGTTACCGCTTCTCAAGCTCACAGTCTAATGGGTAGGACAGACACATAATTATGATACCACCGTAAGAAGTTGAGAGGGATCTGCTCCTGAAGGGTGAGTTTTGAAGGATGAGTAGGACTTAGCCGGATGGGGGTGAGGCAGTGGAGAAGGCACAGCCTGTGGCGATCTAGAAGGCATGCAAGTTATATGGAACTTCAGATCTCCAGGCTGGTGGGAAAGGGTGTGGCGGGAGGATGGAGTAGAGCCTAGAGGTAAACAGGAATCACTAAAGGGTTTTAACGGGAGTAACTGGATCAAACCTGCTGCATTCAGGTTACTGTAGCTGGAGACGGGACAATGGGACAAAGGGAGCCATGCTAGGGACAAGGGAGCAAGCCAGTAAGCATTGTAGACCACTCATGCCTAGAAGGGAACCACTAGACTATTAAGACTTGTGGTGGAGGTGGCCCGGGGACCAGGAATGCTAGGCTGAGGAGTCTGCTTTCCATTCTGGAAACAGGGAGAACCCCAAGAGCCCCTTATCCGGGGTTGTAAAGGTCGCTGGGGACAGCTTGCAGACCAAAACCCAGAGGATTGGAGGCCATTTGCCTGAAGAGGCTTTCAATTCCTCCAGACCAGCTCCTCTGAGGGAAACCTGAGAAATGCTGTTATCAGAGAGCTTCTCAAAAGTCCGGGTCCAGGTGTAGCTGGAGCATAGCCCCTGCTGGGTTCTGGGGATCAAAGCAGACACAGAAGAAGAAGGAAAATCATCCTTGCTCTAGGATGACAATGGAGCTCCCCAAGCACCCTGACAGGCTCTTTAGACTAGAGAATGTGAGTGAAATGAAACAGAGCCCAGAAGAAATGCAGCTCAGTGGGACCCTACAGTAAATACCAGCGGGCTGCCTGAGGTTGAGTTCAGATGCCTAACCCCAGCATTTCATGAGGACAATAAAAATAAAAATAGGGCAGGCTAACTCTGGCTTCAAGACCTCCTTCAAAGAAAATTTGATACAAAATAATGATTATGGAAATAACGAATAAGGAAAGGCAGTCAGTGAAGAAAACAGGTGAGAGAAGCTGTTTTAAATCGCACAATGGAAAAGAGAGAAAAGCCTTCAAAAGGAAAAGAGAAATGGACTTTATTTGTAAGAAACAGTTGTCAGTTACTTATAATTTTTTTGTACTCTGGAATTCAGTTAATCACCTGGCACATGGCAGATGGTTAATAACGTAAATGTGGAATAAATTGCCTGCTACATGCCGGCAATGGGCCCGATTCATGAACATCGTGACCATGCAAAATCCTCCCAGCAACCTTCATGTTTTGCAGTGGGGCAAGGCGAAACCTGGACTTTAGTCCCAGCTCTGCCATTAACTGGCTATGCAGCCAGGGCAGGTCTTGCCAACTCTTCCAGTCTTCATCTGTGTAATGAGAATAACAATACCTACCTCTAGGTTCAAGTGCAGGGGGGTTGTAAATGGCCGAGCCCCGGGGCCCCAATTCTGAGCCCAGATTCTGTGCTCGCTCGTCCCGCAGGAGCCCTGGAAGACCTGGAGCGCGCCGTAACGCTGAGCGGCGGCCGGGGCCGCGCCGCCCGCCAGGGCTTCGTGCAGCGTGGGCTCTTGGCGCGGCTGCAGGGCCG